CACGCTCGCACACATGCAAATGAACACACACACCTGAGCACACCCTGTCTGCAAGCATTAGGATGTAAGGGGATTGATGGGCATGCTGGAGCACATCTGAGCTCAGCCTCTGATTAAACAGCAGCATCACCTTTGGGAGAGCTGTGGTCAATGAAAGGGAATATTGATCTCAGTGAAACCTGATTGATGCTCCGAGCTCTTTTCTAATGTTGTTGCATCCTATCTATAGGTGAAAAGGAAAGAAACGCCTCAGGGCTTTATCAAGAAAAGAACATCTGTTGAAAATTTCCCTTAAGAAAATGTTTTGAGTCCTCTCTCTGATAATCTGAGGCCATCTAGATATCACCTTCCACTCGTCAGACTAAGCAGCAATTCTAATCTGAGCTTCCTCCACAGCGTGGAGCTTCTCACCCTGTCTCTACAGAGGAAGCTCACTTCATTGCCGTGTATCGCTGCACACTTATTTTTGTCCATGTCTCCTATCTCATTAAACAGATAGGGGCTGAAGTATAGATGGACTACTGAAGCACATAGGGTTGCCTCCCACATGGTACTCAGTGAGCATAGTTAGAGAGCAGGCTGTTTGAATCCTATAGACCCTGCAAAGGTGGCTGGTTTTTAAATTCATCATCACTCTGGGACCCTGAGCTTTGAAATTATTCTTTGATTTTTTTTACCAAACAATATTTAAAGATGACATTATATTGACTCTAATTTTTTAAGATTGGGAATTATTGCAAAGTGCTTCTAGAGCAATAACCCATGTTTGGTGTATAGCGTTCGTCTAACATGGATACATTGAGAACTAACGGGAGTCAGGCCTTTTTGTGTTCTTGGACGCCACAGTTCCCCTGTGGGGATGAACCAGATCAAAATAAATTAAAGGAGAACAGCGGGGGAGCCCTGCCACATCCGTGTAAAAATGACAGGAAGCTGCGAGGCGATAAACATCCTGCAGGCCTGCTGGTGTCTGACTCTGACAAAAAAAAGCAACCAGCTGCCACTGGTTCGGACAGAAGGCCCACGCTGGGCGCGTATGTCAGGGTGGAGAAAGACAACGGAGTCACGACAGAAAACTGTCAGACACTAGATGTCTGTATTATTGACTTTTCAGCGGAAAAATGCAGGATGGCTGGATGAATGAATATACAGTTATGGATATACAGATATACACTGTGTGCAGAATTATTAGGCAAGTTGTATTTTTGAGGAGTATTTTAATTATTGGGCCACAATTGTGTTCTTAATCAACCCAAAAGACACCCTAATATCAAAGATTCATATTTTCGAAAGTTTATGTTTTGTTTATTTTTAGATTTGGCCATTGTATGAGGATGTCTGTGTGTGCAGGTAAATATCACTGTGCAGAATTATTAGGCGACATAATAAAAAACAAATATATACCCATCTCACTTGTTTATGTTCACCACGTTAACAAATATAATAACTCAAAATTCAGAGATAAACATTTGCAACATTCAAAAACAACAAAAAACTAAACAAAACACTGACCATTATAGCCACCTTTCTTCACCATGACGCTCAGAAGCCTTCAATCCATAGATTCTGTGTCTCGATCTGTTTGCAATCCACATTGCGTGCAGCAGCCACCACAGCCTCCCAGGCACTGTTCAGAGAGATGTACTGTTTTCCCTCCCTGTAGATCTCACATTTCATGAAGGACCACAGGTTCTCGATGGGGTTCAGATCAGGGGAACAAGGGGGATATTCACCAGATATCTGTAACAATTCCATGCAATCCACACATACACATAAATCTACCCATAGATGTCCAGAAATTAAGTGATGTGTTACAATGTGGAATAGCAAAGGGAAAAAGTATTTAACACTTGAAGAAAGGAAGGTGCAAAAAGGCGTGGTAACTAAGACACAATCCAAAATCTTTTAGTAATTAGAAAGCAATGTCAGCTAGTTTAGTCACAAATGATGCCCTATATAAGGTGTCACACAAGAAACATCTCATGATGGGTAAATGTAAAGAACTTTCTCAAGACCTTTGCAACGTTATTGTTGTCAGACTCTATTGCTGAAGAAAAACCACATTAAAGCTTAAAGTTACGTTTAGTTTAAAGTTTGCTGAACGACATTTAGACAAGCCTGTGAAATACTCGGATAATATAGTCTGTTCAGATGAAACCAAAATTGACTCTTTGGATGCCATAATGGTAATCATGTTTGGATATCATATGGCACTGCACATCACCCAAAAAAACTCATACCAAAGGTAAAGGTTGCAGGTGGGAACATCATGATGTAGGGCTGTTTTTCAGCATATGTTACTGACAAACTTGAATGGAAAACTGTAAAGACTGTATAAAAATGTGCTGCATCTACCAGGATGATGAAGATGAAACATGTGTGGACATTTCAACAGGGCAATGACCCCAAACAGAGAGCCAAGGAAACTCTCAACTGGTCTCAGAGAAAGAAAATAAAGCTGCTAAAATGGCCCAGCCAATCACCTGATTTGAATCCAATTGAAAATCTATGTAAAGAACTAAAGATTGGAGTTCATAGAAAAGGCACACAAAACATTCAAGATTTGAAGAATGGGCCAAAATCACACCATTCAGGAGGCTTCTTGAAGCTGTCTTTGTCAACAAAGGTTTTTGTACAAAGTATTGAATACAGTAATTGTGTTCAATACTTTTTCTCTGTCTCATTTCAATTTATTACAAATAACTATGAATATATGTGTGAACATGTGTGAATTGCATGAATTGTTATCGACATTCGGTGAAAATGTCATGTCAACAGCACTTCTAGAAATATATTTACTCAGAAAAATGGTGGTTTGTCCAATACTTATTTCCCCAACTGTACAGCGTAAATGACATTTACCTTTAAACAGTGTTGTGTGAATGATCTCAGTCTGCAAACACATGTGACATTAAAGACTGAGCATATTTCCATTTCAAAGCCAATGTGTAAATGAGACATGTCAAGCACCTGGAACTGAATTTAGCTTTGTGGCCCCAAGCTGGTGGATGGCCCTTCAGTGTGTCCTTACATCAGCCTCCCTGTGATCCCAGCTGTTATTCATTGTAACTGAGAGAGAAAAGAGGTCGGTCAATATTCATAGATGTGATTGTCAGCTGATGAATCAAGTAAAGCAACCTGCAGGGTCTCCGTTTCTCCGTCAGATTTGAATTTTAATACTCTGGTTTACATTTGAACATAATCCTTTCCTTTACATTCATTCTGTAAACAACTTGTTTTGTCTTTTTAATTAATCAAACTATATAAAAAAAACAATGCTTCTGAACTAACTTAAACTCTCCTCCCAATCAGACAGCTCTATGCATACTGAGCACAAGTATAACTGTCCTGACTGGTTCTTCAGACACTTTCTTTGGCTTTTTACAATATTAGATCCCAAGAGAAGTTATTCACTAGTGCCACAAAGAAGACGGAACAATAATTAATAAATAGTGGATTTTATATTACATTTTAAAATAACTTACAGAGAAAAGAATTCCAAGAGAAGAGAGCTCAAGAGTCTGAAGCCCGTGAACACAATGATTTACCGTATGTTTTCATCTTAGTATGTCGATTCATCATCAGGCTTTGATCACTGGACGTCACTGATCTACCACAGCCATATTGGTGCAGTGGCCTTATGATGAAATTAGACCACTTGGTTTTCATGCGTTAAGTAAATGTTACCTTAAAGACAGGTATGCCAAGGATCCATACTGTATTCTTTTAATAGCAGGTGGACAGCAGTGTTTAAAATAACTAGGTTTCCCACCAGAGGGCAGGGAAATTTGGACAAAGGAGGCTTTCATCTTTCCAATAACCTTGGCTGGCTAAATTATATTTACTGGTATAAAGTTTTCTAAGACAACAGGTTGAGCTGAAGAGCGAACCTTTCACACAGACGCTCAAGAAGATATAATTTCTCCTGTTTTAGACCTCATCAAGAAACTGTTCTTTCAGCTTTTAGTTACAAAGTCGTGGTTTCAGGCTCTTCTTTCCAGTATCACTACAGTCCTCTGAGGTTTTCAGAGATTATTCAATCAGGCTGAAGTCTGGACCTTTAACTGCCTCAATGCATCGGTTCTGTTGTTTCCCGTTTCAGATTATCTACCGTTTTTTGGATTATTCTGTCGATGACCCAGTTTGTGCAAGCTTCAGATTCAGCATCCATGATCATTCTTTTGACTTCAAAACTCTTTGGTTTACAGAGTTCCTGTTTGACTTGATGAGGGGAGGCTGCAGCCCCGTGGATAAAACAAGCCCAAACCATCGGTCCTCCACCACTTCAATTAGGAGTTAGTCAGAGGCGCTCTGCATAGATCTCATCTGTAGAAAATATGTTTCTGTAAGCAACTTTGCATCTAATCAATGGAACCATATTATTTTCTCCTTCAACTATTGCCATACATTCTATTCAGTTGTTTTGGCATTTGTCTTGTTGTGAACTACAACATACTGACTGACCCCGCAGTCACAGAGAGACGTACACCCTAACCTTGGAGTGCATTTGCTAAGATGTCCACTCCTGAGGAAATTGAATTTTTAAATGTTCCTCCACTTGTGAGGAGAAACAAAAGCCTTTGATTTGCTCAAAAACTAACGCATGATCTCCAAATGAATGTTTAGCCTGTTTTTAATCATCTAAAATCACCACCTGATTAGCATTCATTTCTGGCAACCAGCTCCTGAAAAGGTGTATTTAGAGGTTGGTACATGGATTAAACTTTTGAAATTAACAGGATGTCATTTTCCTAAAATAACAATAAAAAAAATACTATATAATATATATCACAGGAGGGTCAGTTTTCAAATGTAATTTCACTCTAGCAGACATGTTTCTGTATGACTTCAAAAAATTGAATAAAATTGACTTATTCTTTACATAAGTATAAATGGTGCCAAAAGACATCAATATATTATAGCTGCCTTCAGCTTTTGAAATTATAATAGGAGACTAACACAAATCTTTATTAATAGACATTTTATTATTTAAAAAAAAACTTTATCTTACATGAATATTTTACAGCATGGGGTGTTTAACTGTATAAAAAACAACAGGGCATGACATCCAGTCGTTTCTGAGGAAAATAAAGATAGCTGCACCACCTGCTGGTAGCAGAGGGTTACTACAGTCCGTCTTAGCAATTTCTTTCCTCCCTCCTGAGAGTAAAAACAGCTGACAACAACTGATCCTCTTCAGGAGTCATTAGGAAGGCCAAACAGTTTCACTGTTCCTGCCTCTCTGTTGCTGTCATATTTGCCCTCCTTGTCATCACAGGCGAAGGCCAGCAACGGTCTCTTTGGATGCCAGGCGACTGTGAAAGTTGGAGAATCACACTGCACTTCCCACAGCTTCTCACCTGCAACATGGAAGGTAATACGTTTACTTCTAAATATTTTCTGGTCTAAAACAGGATAACTTTATTTATTCTTTTAACTGAAGGCATCTTTTGTTGTACAGAGGGATAAGTTCTGATGAAGAATGGATGGAAAAAAAAAGCTGAAGAATTCTTCTTTCCACAAAGGAGAATTCTTCATAAAGGGAAGAACATTATGGACAACAGTGAGCAACCTCTTCAGATTTTTAAACAACAACAGAGCTTCTTCAGTCAGAGGCTTCTCCAGATCAAGTGCAAGACAGAATGATACTGAAGAGCCTTTCTTTCTACAGCTATCAACGCCTGTTTAAAAAGTATGTAGTATGTGTTACTGCAAAATTCAATATCCCTTTGGGGTTAATAAAGTATTGTTGAATTAAATTCCAAATTTAAAACTTCATTTACAGCCTCTAGCAGTCTGAGAACTTCACAAATGTTCATATTTATGTTGAGAACAGTGCTTATACCAGTAAGAATTATAATTACAGATATCTGCAATACAAATACTGTCACGTTAAAAAAAATTTAATCTCATTTTTAATTGGAGACATCTTCAAAGGGAATGTTGACTTGTCGATTTTTTAATTAGTTAAATTTGAACTAGTAGACAATTTAATCGGGATTTCAAGAAATATATTTAATGTCTGTTTTAATAAGGTCATTCATTAATTTTAATTATGACTAGGTAAATCAAAAAGTAAGCCAATTTAAATCTATAGCAAGACATTTTGAACTGGACCCTTCCAACAAATTAATAGTAAATCAAACTCTTGGGTTATTATACTAGTTGGAATGTAATTAGAAATGTCTTACACTGGTATTTTGTCTCATTAAAGTTTCATTAGAAATACCTCATTTAATTAAAGGTCCAGTCAGTTTCAGATATCTGTAATGCAATTGAGGGGAATTGAAATCCTCCTTTGGAAGGTATAATTTTTCCTTTAAAAAATTCCCTTCAGTTTATGTTGTAAAACTATTCATCGCAAGAAAAGGACCGATTTAAATAAGAACATTTCTATGATAGAGTAAGTGGAGATGTTGGACTAGAATTGCATCATAAAGGACCTGTTGTCAAGGTAACTACCTGTTTCAACCTCTGCAATGTCAATAAAATGATCCTCAGAGGCAGAGGCCAACATCTTTCCATCGTGGCTGAAGCTTAGAGTCCTCACCGGCCAGTCCAGTCTGTAGCAGTAAAAAAAAAGAAAAAAAGACAGGGCATAGGTGATCCCTAATATGCTCAGACGTTGCTCAAAAAGTCAGCAATTCAGAGAAAGAAAAACAGACTAACCTGGAGAAGCAGCGCACACATACCAGCTCCTCCACGTCCCACAGACTAACGAGAGCGTCAGCACTTCCTGTGGCAAAGTATTTCCCCGTGGGGTCAAACTTGATGCAAATGCAGTTGGATGGGTGAGCGTTGATGGACTGGATGGGCTTCAGGTCCGGATAGCTATAACAACAAACACATTGATCAACTCAGATATGAAACATACAGGGAAAAAAAAAAAAAAATCGCGTGCAGGATCTCCACAGCCATTCATTTAGATGGAAACAAAGAAACATCATAAAGGAGAACATAGACCTAGGGTGTCTTACTCTGCCAGGGTTTGATCATTTATACTTCGACAGAGTAAAATTATGTCATGATTATATCATCTCAATAAAAGTGGGGTGAAAACTGAAGTCGTGGATAAAGAACTCCATGTTGATAATATGGAGGATATATGGATAATATGGCCGGCTACAGTGTACACTGTAGTACACTGTAGCCACAGCTGCCGTGGGGCTCACTGACAGAAGCGAGGCTGCCATACACTGGCACCACCGGGCCCTCTAACCACCATCAGTAGACAATGCAGGTGAAGTATCTTGCCCAAGGACACAACGACACTGAAAGCCGGAGCCGGGGCTTGAACCATCAACCCTTCAATTTCAGGGCAAACTCCAACATCCGACACCACTATTCCCACTGTCACAATAAAAGTTTAATATGATTTCCCTTGACTCTAATCACTGCAGTGACTGATAACTTTGGAATATCGTATCTAAATAAGTTTGTACCTTACTGTTTGGAATATGACAGGAGCTCATTGCTACTATTCATCTATTGGTACTAACAGAAATGGTTAAAGTAGATGGTGATGAAGGCGTGTTTAAAATAACTTGGACATCATTTTACAAAGTATTTTTCAAAATGAAGCCAAAGATGGGGGACCAATTTTTTTCTAATCCACAAGATGAAAATAAATGTTTGCTGAGAGACGTTACACGATCGACTGATGAATTCTGACATAAATGTGTTTCCTCGCTTTACAAAAATGCACATAATATGCATGCGCCTTTAAATACAGCTTTCAAATAATGTGAGAGATGAAAAAACTAACATCTGGGTAATGTGAGACTTGCAACCTTTTTAAGATGCATTTTAACTAAAGTCAAGCGAGAAGCGGTTTCAGTCAGAGGCGTTATTATTGTCCAATTTTGCCATGGATCGACCTCCATCAATCTGTCGTTTAGTCTCCATCCGTTCCTCTTCCGTTTCAGTTGTACTCAGAATATCCAACATCCAAGAAGGAAATTTCAACTGAAATTTAATTGACTTTTGCATTTAACTTGGCTGCTGTTCGCATCAAAGATTGTAAAACTTGAATCTTGACATTATGAGTTCTTCATTTATAACATTTAATCAGTTGTACAATTACTACTTTGTGTTTATAAGGTAAGATACATTTAGCAATATTTATATGTGAATATTACTTCCCAGCATAGTTTTTTTGTCATTGTTATGGCTGTAGCACTGGTCATAGTGGCCACTATAAATAATAGTTTAGGAACTATAAATAATAGGATCGGTCACAAGAGAGAAACTGAAAACCCCAGAGATCACATTACTCTGATTTTGGGGTTTCAAGATAAATGAAACACGGCAAAAAATAGTAACTTTATCACCAGAAACTTTCTTTTCATTCATCATTGAGCTGCTCTTTGTCTGAAGTGATCCTCCTGATGTTGCAATAACAAATTTTGCAGCCTTTCAGTGTGAAGAGTCATTTTAAGAAGTTGCCTCTACAGAACCTCCACAGCTCAGAAGTTCTGTATCATTTTCTTTAATTGGCCTTTTTTCCTAAAATGAATAGGATCACTCTGAAGTATCTGTCTTTTTTTTCATACATCAGAACCCATTTTAAGAAAGCAAATGGAGCCTGAGGTTCACAGATCCATTTGGTTCCTACCTCAGAATATTGATGCAGCCGTTCCCGTTGGTGAGGAAGAACATGTCGTTATCATTGTTCCAGGAGATCTCGTTCACCTCAAACTTGAACTGCTCCTCAGCCTTGGAGCGGTGCGTCTTGGCGTCGATGAAGGTCACAACGTCGTCTTTGTTCCCGACTGCGACAGTCTGACCGTCTGGACTCCAGCAGATATTGATGTTCTCACCTTGATTGATGGGGGAAAAAAGAGACAGGGAAAATAATTAGATTCTTTTCAAATCTTTGCTAGGTGAAGATTACAGCATCCCCAGATACGATCGTACCCTTCGTGTTGACTGTGGCGACGCATTTGGTTGTGCGCACGTCCCATATGCGAATGGTTTTGTCTCCGGACGCAGTGACAAACAGATCGGGGTTGGTTGGATGCCAGCACAGCTGATCCACGCTGTCACTGTGTCCTCTGTAGTTGTTCTCCTTCACCTAGAGGAAGACACAAGCTTTAGTTTCAGGAGTCACGTGAAAACATTAGGACGACCCAGGAGACAGTTGAAGTGATGTGGAAGACCTCCTGCCTTGTTCCAGTACCAGAGAAAACTCAGCCACCGTTGCCCTGGCAACCCACATTTCTGTAATTAGGAGGGGAGATCCTCTGGTTCATCTGCTATCCTTAAATACCGTTTTTTTTAACACTTAATGATCAACTTAAAACTAAATTGGATGTATTTTGATTAAATACTGCAAAACAAAATTATAATGATCATCTTTAAAAGTTCCTTGATATTACCTCTAATGTGTATCCGCCTTTCTGGTTAAAACCTGTGTAAAAATCGATCTTTTCTGACATTTCTGCCTTATTTCTACTGCACTTATATTTACTAAGGATGTTTTCTTATCTGAAACGGTGTGGAAAGATGTTTTAAAAATGCTATAATCAGTATAATGCATCCAGTCATTTCAACCTAACCGCCTTTCAGTCCAATTCTAAGACTTGGTTCACTTTCTGACAACAGTACTAAAGATACCTGTGAATTAGAGCAGCTTTGAAGGAAATTCAGCCATAATAAAACTCAGCATGTGTGAGCAGAGACAACAATAAAGAGGAAAACGGAGGTTACCGTCACCATGCAGTGCACTGGGACTTCACTCACCAAACGGTCCTTTTCCAGGACAAAAACGCTGGCTGTTTTATCAAACGAGCCGGAGGCGAGCCTCCTCCCATCGCAGCTCCAGGCCACTGAATGTACTTTGGCTGTATGAGCCTGGAACTCCCGGCTTTTGTTGTTATTTCTGAAGCTCTCCTGCATCTCTTGGTAATATTGTGACGCCATCTTGTTTCCCTTCTCTTCTTCTTCGCACAACTTAAAGCCGGTATAGCGCCTTCCTGTGGCTTGGTTAGGATTTACAGTCTGTGTCCACTGCTCGCCTGTGCTCTTTTAAAATAAAACTCATGCCCAGTGATATATATATATGTATATATGCCTACTTGGAAATCATTTTCTAAATGTTAATTCATCCATGACAAAGTTTTTTTTTTTCTCAAAACATTTTCATCAGTTTTTGCTATCAGTGTGGAATTTATTTATATTTAAATTTCCGTTTCTGCACCTGTTTCAGACTCCTCAGTTTATTTTTTAAAATTCATTACTAAAATCCCTTAAGACTTTGGTGTCATCTTCCCTTTTTCTCTTTTCTTATCCGAAAACCTGACATTCTTAGTTTGCAGTGAAAGAAAAACTTATTTTGCGGCCCGCCGCTGTCCTGGTCAAACCATTTTATCTTGGGGTGGGGGGGAGTTCTAATGGCCCCTTATTTAAACAAAATATATTACATATACCTAATGTAGATATATTTATATATTAAGTTACTCCAAAATCAAATATTTCTATCACAAATATTTTCTGAAAAATTACTCCTGCCTGTATTTTAAATGGTCTGAGTCTGAATTTAGTTTTAAAAGTATTTTCCCTTTTTAGATTGCCTTTGTTCTTGATTTTAATAAAAACACATAAATAACTCCAAAGATTCCGAAGCTTTGCTGCACTCAAAGGCGCTGCCCTTACATTACAAAATAAATAAAGGATCACAATCATTAAGAGGATGGAAAAAAAACTTTTTACGGCTTTTCCTTAGCAGGATAAGGCGTCTGAGTTTGAAAAACAAGAACAAAAAACAAAACAAAACAAAAAAAAAAAACACATGGGAAAATGTTGGAAAATCTTTTATCTTACCTATACAGTGACCAATGATAAAAACAAAAAACAAAACATAATTTCGGTACTAACTTCTTTAAATAAAGACATACTCGTTTTATTTATTTTAATTACATTTTATTTTAAGTGATTCAAAAACGAAAATCCATGAAGTAAAAAAAAACTTTAACAATCTGTTAAGATTTCCAAAATGCACACAATACCTAGTTATCTCATGAAGTAACTCCATTTAGGTAGCCACATTGTTAACAAATGCAATTACTCAGAAGATGTAAAATGTAACTCAGCTGCATTTTTTTTTTCTGAAACGTGGAGGTTTTGTGCGAGGCCTCAATGTGCAGAAAATCCTGCCCTTTACATGTGCAGCAGGACTGTAAAGCCCCTGGTCCTTTGTTCCACAGTAAAACACAACAAATGGACATAGCAAAATGCACTTTAAAGCGTGAGTTTGTGTGTTAAGACAGAACAAGAAGGTGTGTGAAATCTTGATACAAATGTGCCTCATGTAGTTTGCATAAAGGTGTTCACAAAAGCTGTAAAGGTAAAGTAGAGAAAAAATAGTGAAGGAATGCACCATGACCATAACAATATGCGCATTTCAGGGCTCAGTGCTGATTTAGTGCAGGAAGACGTCTTATCTCTATGACAGCATCTCAGGAGTTTTCAAGCTACAAACTGATGTTTTTAGGATGTTATAGTGTAGAGGCAGGTATCTGTGGAGAGGTAGAGAAAATACACAAGCACCTCATTCCTCCAAATCACTTCTACTCCACGTTTCACCTGAAAACTTGGCTTTCTGTTGGGTTTTTTTTTCAATGCAGCACCCTTGCCCTAGTGAAGATCTGTCCCTTGGATCCGGAGAACGTCCTTTCTCAAAGTCCTACATCTATTCAGGCTGCAGTATGTCAATCCACTTTGCCTTTTTTTCATCTTACAAACTTCCCTAACCTCCTGTCAAGCTGATAGTCGACACGCTGAAACCGAAGCAGCAGAACTAGATGAGAGAATCCCTGTTTGCAAAAACATATTCCTGTATGCTTTCACCAGGAATGGGTTCAGATTGACGGAGGAAGTTCAGGATTGATACAACAGTCAAGGCTACACACTTAAAGGGTCACACTACTGAAGGCAACTTGACTAAAAATGTACATTTACTTACATTTCTGGACCTCTGCATTACAAAGCTTCTATCAAAGGCTGGGGCTTTCCTTTAAATAAAACAGAACTCTAAAAAGATTTGAACAAGTTCAGGAAATAAAACTAAATATGAAGAAATACTTATTTTAAATCACAATTCTTGGCACCCCTGGAAATAAGTTGTACAACCCCCTGTTGTTCAATTGCAAAACAGAAACCTTCTCTAGGTTGAAACATACAAAGGGAGGGATGTCTCCAGATTGTTCTGGGGTCCATTTTGAGATAAACGTGAAAAAATGTTGGTTATGTGTCAGCCAAACCGTGTCTGACCCAGTTTGGCTTATGCTTTGGATCATTATGTTACTGGCCGAATAAATTTTGACCGAATTTAAGTTTTCTAGTCAAGAAAGGTTTTCAGGGCCTTGAGAAGAAAAAACAGGTCTACACTATCTTCTAACAGAGCTAACAGTCAGGATGAGGTGATATGCCAACCCTTAGCAAAAAGTAGTTTATTCAAGTACGGTATACTAAAAGTGCACTCATATCATACTTAAAATCAGGCAGTGCACTTAAGAGTTTACTTATTCTAAACTATATTTCATATACTTAACAATAGTATAGTCAAGTACACTTGACTATACTATTCTTTACTTTATTGTTAGTAAAGTATACTTTAAGTATACTTTAGTAAACTTAAAAATGTCCCAATTTAGTTCGAAGAAGTATTACTTCAAGTACACTAAAAGTACATTGTTTGGTATACTTTCTAAACTTATACTTAATTATTCTTAATAGAATTTACTTCAAGTATACTACTTTTTGCTAAGGGAAGTATTCTTCCTTTTTTTTAGCCAGTGTGATGAATCTGACCAAAGCACTCTGCTCCAGTTTAACTAAAAACATTTGAAATAGAGAAAAAGAAAATAACTTCATTTTTAAGTCGGCTCTTACACACAACTACTCAGCTTGCAGATCGAATCTAATGGTTCTTCTTTCTCTTTGCTCAGTTCTCTAACCATGCTAACTGAGCTTTGTGGCACCTGATCTATTATTTCCATTTATTATAAACTTCTATATTATTGCTCATACTGTAAAAAAGGGCCAGTTGAAAAGAGAAGTTTTTTTTCTTGTAAAAACTGTCCAATTTATAAAAACTTTTTGTTGTTTTTTTACTTTCCCATTTGAAAAAAATAGGCACATAGCCTTCAACCTTATATTTAAACCAAGGACTTATTAATACACCTTTTCTAGACACGGTAAAAAAAAAAAAAAAAAAGAAAAAAAAGAAAAGGAAATCTTTATGTCATAGAACCAGTCAGGGGTTTCTTTAAGTATCTCTGTTAGAGGTGCCATTAATTGTTAAGGGTGGTGTTTCATTATCAGCATCTACTAAATTTACTCCAGTAACAGTTCCCTAAAACAGAAAGAGTTCAAATAATTATTATATAAAACTGTTAAAAACTTGAATAAATATGTAGCAGCAGGATAAACTGAAGTCAAAACCTAAATCAGATTTACTGTTAGTTTAATCCTTAGAAATGCAGTAAAATTGGAATTCCTTTTACCTTGTTAAAATGCACGATCCTAAACCAGAAGCTCAGCAGCACAGGACGTTCCTCCTGATCAAACATTTAACCAAGTGCATCTTTGTTCATTAAACTGAGAACAAAATGGACGCAACAATATTATTATTTCCTAATATTAGAGCAGGACTTTAGTGCAAATGGCTACAGTCTCCTCTGAGTCAGATCAGTCAGGTTTGCCTTCAGAAAGATTTCCTTTAAAATGTATTCTTTAGTCTTCAGATTCCAATTTCATCTTTTGACACTTCAACTTTATGAGATATTTTATCAGGAGATGAAAAAAAAGGGAAACCTTTTTTGCTGATTTTTAACCAGTACTCTTCTGACCAGCTAAGATCAGGAGAAAAGTGGATGATCAAGGGAAAAAAAAAAGAGACATTTTATTAAATGTCTTTTTGTTTAAAGTCTGCTCATGATTTCCTCTCTTGGTATTTTCTATGAGGGTCAAACTACTAGTTTTCCTTTGATTTCTAATATTTGATGATGAGTTAGAATAAGACGAGAGCACCTACAGTAGAAGATATGGTCCAATCTGGATGTAATCTGTACAGGCATATTTTGTGTCTAGTTTAAAGCTGCATTGATACTCATTTAGCCACAATGCAGGTCTACTGCTATCAGACAAAATAACTACAACAACAAATCATCAAATTCACTTCATGTCTCCCTTCCTCTCTGGTAGCCATCACACTGTGGACTGATCTATTATATAGGACAGTTACCCTCTTGCAGTCACAATTATTGCCTTATATCAAACAGCAGCATAAATGTTGAACCTAATGAAGCCTGATAGTGATCATAACCACGATTTGCATGAGTTAGTGTGGGAAACAATGATCTGTAGTGGCCTGGTTTTGGGAAGAGTCGTCAACATGGTCATGTCCTCATGCAGATCCACACAGTTGCCCCCCAGCAGCAGGACTTTGTCTGTGATATAAACATTTGCTCCCTCTTGTGGCCATTCTAGAGGGGCCACTTCTTAAAACATCTTGCATGACCATCATTGATTATGTGTGAGTTTATTACATCCCATTATTACCTGCCTGTTGCGTGTCAGAACTAATGTTTTCCCCAGTAGTTAGGACAGCTCCTCTGTCCGGATATACAGTTACAATCTTCATTCTGTACATGGCCAAGAGTTGGGAAAAGAATAAGAGCGGTGTCACTTTAGAACAAAGTGTAATATTTTGATAAGGCTGGAGCCATGGATGTCTCCTTATCTGCAAATGTGTATGATGTAATAATGTGGCAGACTGGAGATGTATGAAATGCTTCTCTAACTGTGAATCGTGGCTGCTTCATGAGAAGTGAGCCCGGTTGGTAAGCAGCTGCCTTCTGTAACTCAAAGCAACTTCTCTGATCTGAGTAAGATTACAATTTCGATCAAAATCTGTTGTCATTTCTCGTGGTTATTTAATACAT